TTCTTATTAGCTAAACTGCTTAGTTAGTTTTCTGTGGCACTCTTAATTGTCTTGAAAAGCTCAAGTATAAAATCTCTTTTAGAAATCTCACAGTATTATATACAACTGTTGCTTGACACAGGATGTTCCTGGGACAGAGGGGTATTGCCCTGCCAAATTAGTATTCATGGCGCAACGTTATTGTTTAAATTACTGAGGTTAAATGCAGTTTTATCGCAAAGCACTGGCTGCTAATGCAACCCTGCGCTCCCGCTCGGATAGCAGGGGAGGCTGGAGCTACCTGGCGCTCAGCGGCCCGGGCGCCTTCCCGCTGCAGCAGCTCCTCAGCTTCCCTCTGTGCCACACAGTCCCGGCTCGCCTAGGGCAGCGCTGGGGCTGAGCAAGCAGCACTGAATCACTGTGCAAGGCACGGATCCATGTCTCCTGACAAGGAAGGGAGATACGGGAATGCCGGAACCTCTGATATTCTTGGTGTCTCTTATGACATCTTTGAGCTGTGCATGGCTGTAATCATAGCAACAGTACCGTGTACTTTGCCTGGCATAAGCAGAGAGAAAAACTGGAGTGCTTGCATCCAGTTCATACTTTACATTCTTACCACTTTGTCTCTCCCAACATGAGAAGAATATTAAAGATCAGAAATAAGAGTTTATGCAGAGAAGGAACATTTGTACATGGAACAAAGAATGGCTGTACAGAAGACTTTAAAGTCACCTGTCTTTGTGTGTCCAAGAAAATTCATACTCGGGCAGTGTTTGATAATGATGTTTTCCCGGAGAACAAGTGCTACATAGTTGCCCTGTTCATTTTCAACAAGTGAAATCCTCTTTATGAGAATTAGTGGGAAAAGATGAGTCCAATATAGTCATGAGGGTTAGTGGGGAAAGATAATTAAAAGATAATTGAGTATGAAAATGTGTTTTCAGGCATTGACCAGCTGGTCAGCCCAATATAGTCATGGGACTACATTTGAAATCTGTTAACAGCAGGAAAATCTAGGAAAGGGATTGATGCATTGCTAACTGGCCATTAGTGATCACCAGGGATGTCTGCAATGGCACCGCACAGACAAAAACAAGATTCCCACTACACTTAATTAGCTACTCTGGTACCCTTTCCAAGGTCTCCTTAGAAATCTTCCAGAATTCTGCAGCCGCTTCAGGATGTTGTACCCCAAGGTGACCCCAAGGGTGCTACACATTTAGTTTTTCTGTTTTGTTTCATTGGCTTTACAAGAGAGCAGAGGGACAGAGAGGAGGATAAGAAAACACTGACTGGAGCTTTGGCTCTGTGGTCAAGAATGCATTAGCTTTATGTTTCTCATCTTGATTTTAGGTCTTTAGCCAGGAAAGGGGACACAAGCAGGCAGATTGGTGCTGTTCTTTTTGTGTTCAGGATCATGTTTATTCCTGGAAATACAAAGATATAACTTGAGATCAAATGTTCTTCAGGCAAAGGAAATAACCATCTTGGTGTTAGATCATATTCATGCTTTCTGCTATCTAAAATCAATTTACAAACACAGGGAGGAACAGGCTGGATCAGCAAATAGCAGCTGTATGTAAATAGTGACAAAACAAATGGTAATGATGAATAAAAGCCAACCCCAGAGAAGTAGAGGAGCGTTTCGGTTCGCTATGTTCTCTCCGTGAACCTCACCAAGTGAACTGGAGAAATAGTGGCCGGGTATCCAAGCAGGGCAAACGTGTAAGAGGCTGCTGGTCTCATGACAGTGTTGAACCCCCCAGATGCCCAGGTTGCGGGGGGCAGGGCCCTCTTGCTTGGGTCGGTCAGCCAGGGAGGCCTTGCAGCCCAGGCCCTTTCCCCTAGCACGCACTCAAGGCTGCCTGCTGAAAGTTGGGGATGAATTGGGCAAACTCTCTTGGTGTAGCTGGCAGTGCTGGTGCTGCAGGACAGAGGCCGTGTGCCTGTCTGCTGCAGCCGCATAGCTCGTGCCATGAACGAGCCCAGCTTCTCCATCCCTCCTGCCAAGAAGCAGCCTCTTGAGTCCCTGCCGGAAGGCCGCTAGTCTGCCAGAGCTGTGGAGAGTGGTGCCCGTGCGGCCATCGCCTGCGCTGGCACCACTTCCCAGTGCTGCGGCCGCTTCCTAACACTGGAGTGCTGCAGGTTAGTGCACTACCCACTTTGTGCTTTGCCTGCATTTGGGCTAAGTGGCTTCTGTGAATTAACACCACATCTGCATATTGATGTATTCGTGAAATAGAGCCTGAAGCTGGCATTGCAAAACTCCTAGGTTGTGGACGCAGGCTGCACAATGCTTGACTGCGCTGTTACTCCTGCAGGTTCATGCTATTGGCGAGTACCCCGTTATTCTGCAGGGGAGTCTTAGATTAGTTGTAGTTTTGGAGCTAAGTTATTCTGAAAAATAGAGACAAATGACTCAAATCTATGAGATGTGTAGCTTGAGATGTATAGTCTTCGAGGGGTCTAGCTGACCCATCTCACTGCCAAAAACCTGGCTAGGAGGAAAGGCAGGTTCTGGAGCAGCAGTGCCTTGTGTTTGCTGAGCACTTCTAAAGCCAGTGAGTAATAAAATTGTTGGCTCATATTCATTCCCTTTTGCTGCATTCTTACTGCAAATAATGTAAGCTGTGCTTTTGTTTTGTGCCTTTGTGTTTGTTTATTCACTAGGGTGTCTTTTAGAAAACCTCTCAGGAAACTGAAAAACAGGCCTTAAAAAGAGTGTGTGGTGGTCTGTATCTGATTTGGTGTTCTCATTAGATATTTTGTTTTTTTGGTTTGTTTTTCTAGTCTGTAATTCTTCAAATTGTTTTAATACTTGCTATTAACCCACAAACCTTCAGAACTGCAGCTTGCAACTACCAAATTTGGCTCTTCTAGTTAGCAAAAAGAAATAATACAATTTCCCTTGCAAAATTCCAAGCAGTGAGTGGATCATGCAGATGGGCTTATCTTCCCTGTGTTCTGTAAGGGTTTTGGAATGTATTTCCAGAAATGTTTTGTTTTCCCAGCATGGATGTCCTCACCCCAGGCTTGCTCAATTCAGCTCTACTGTGTAGTCATTGGCAGTGCTATCAGCCTCGGATATTGGCAGTGACCTGTTTGAGCAGATGGAGCTTGCCCTGAGTAGTTGTTGACTCTGAACCTTCCCTGCAGGCTCCGCACTAACAGGCACCAGCAGCGGTGTCTCATGCACCTCATCCTTTGGCACAGACTTGGTTAAACCCCTAGCTGGAAGGATGCGGAGCTGGCAGGCGTTGGCAGCTGCCCCCCTGCAGAGGGTGGCACTTCAGGAAGGTTGGGCTTTTTTGTCTGCCACAAACTAGGGAGCCCAGGGCTCACGTTCCCTTTGCAAAAGTCTCACTCCCAGAGCAGGCCGCACATGTCGGCCTCTCTTGGCTGCCCCTACTTCTTCTCTGCGAGCTCTTCAACCACCAGCAACTCCGCATTTTGGGCTTTTCCTTCTGTCCCTTCCACTATCATTTCACTGGATCTGCTCAAGTTAATGAATCACTAGAACGAGAAAGCAATTGCTCCAAGGCCAGTTGAGTAAAATTAGGGAAAAGGGCTGGTAAGCTCTGAGCCCAGGGGCCTGCAGAGAGGGGCTGACACGACAGAAGGGGCAGCTTCCTGGTGAGCTGGTGCCTGCAGCCTGTCCTGCAACGTGGCCGAGCAGCGCAGCTGGCGTGGCCCCCGCTGCATGGCCCCCGCTGCACAGGCTGCAGGAGGGCAGGTCACGCTGCTCTCGCTGTGATTGCTCAAACCACATACAACTCATCTTTATCTCTAAGGCATTACTTGGAGAACGTAGAGGCTTTTTAGACATGTTTTGTGTTATGCCACTGTCTTTGTAATTGTGCCACTCCTCCCAAATTTTCAATCTAACAAGATGAGGAAACGTCTAGGCAAGCTACTGGCTTTGCCTGTGTTCACCTGGAGCTGCCAAGCTTTCTCCTTGGTGCTTTTTAGCAGTCACTTCACCATCAGAAATAAGATCTCTGCATGTGTAAGGTGCAATTTTTACCCTAGAAGAGGGCTGCAGGGCTACCAGAGGAGTGTTTGGTTTTTGAGACTGCCCTTGCACATGTGTGGTTGATCTTGCCCAGCTGATGAGCTGGGACTGCAGCCTAAGGTGTCTGCAGCTGCCTGGAGGGGAAGGGGCCCAGGCCTCCTTCCAGAACGAGGCGCAATCAAGTCCATGGTCAAACACATTCTTGCGAGAGGAAAAAATAGTGACCAGTGTTGAGTAACCACTAAAAAGTCATGGTGTCTTGTTCCGGGCATGGGGTCTAGCTGAGAGCCTCAGTCTCAGCAGTGTGGCATCAGGTCATCGCAGTAAGCTGGGACCAGGAGCAAGTGTGCGGTGTGCTCAGCACTTTGCTCCACACTGCCCAAATGCAGCTAGGATCCCACAGCAAGCTGGAGCCACAGTTCCCAAGCACCTGCTCCTGCACTTAGCCTGCCCCCTTTCTTCCTGCCTCTAGTCCCCTTTTGATTTGTTACAGGTGCACAGGAAGATCTGAGAGACCCCAGTGTTTAGATGGTCAGGTTGTATGTGGCAGTTTATCTCTTGTTTGTTTGTGAAGGAAAAATACCGATTTCAAAATCGTGAGTGTAATTTGGAAATACATTTGACGCTTGAAATCCACAACAAAGGTGCATGGTGCTGATCAGCACCGATGCCATGACTTGTTGTGAAGCCTCTACGTGAGAACAGGAATGAGAAGCTGTGGGGCCTGTGCTGCCTTGCAGTGATGGGGCCAAGGGCTGTGACTTGCCAAAGGAACAGGCCGTTCCTCTGGACGGGAGCAGGGGAGGGCGTGGAGGCACGTGGTGTAAGCGGAGCCACCCCTCCGGAGAGGGCTGGTTTGTTTGCTCCCTGCTTTGGGTGTTAAAGAGGTGGGGCTCAGCCCTGGGAGGCTTAGCTGAGAGGCTGGAGCAATGTATTAATAGGAGTGCGTTGCAGGAGCTGCACGGGACTCAGGACGCTCCCGGAGCTGACTGGAGTCCCTGTGCAAGAGACCAGGGACAGCAGGATTCACAGCACTCGACAGCCAACATGAGCACAGCGGGCAAAGTAAGCGAGCTGTTTGTTTTGGAAAGGCTTCTCTGCTGCAGATGAGGAGCACATTTAAAAGCAGTTTCTTTGCAGGTGCAAATTTTTATTGCTGGTAGCTTGCAGCCTAGGTGGCAGGGGACGAGGAAGCCAATACAGCAGAGCTGACTTTCTTTGCAGGCCAATGTGCTCTCCCAGGAAATGGCAGTTATGCTCTTGGAAGAAATAACTCTGCCAAGAGAGCACAACCCTCTTCTGTTGCAAAGTTATGGGTGATTCGGTTTGTGGGGTTTTTTTTGTTTGTTTGTTTGTTTTTCCTTTGTAAAACTTGATTAAAAAATACTGAGACAGCATAAGTTAATGTCACCAAAATAAACATGACCTCCTCAGGGTTTGGAAATTATTTTTAACTTCTGATTGGCCAATTTAAAGTAGGAAGACATTCTGCTAATGCTGGGTTACATTGGAGAGTTGAATTATGCAGATGTTCAGACAGGCAGGAAGTCTGGATATGCAAATAAGGAGCTGATGGCTTAAGTTAATGAACCCCAAAACATTCCAGGTATCACGCTCAGTGCAATGCTGAGCTAGGAATCAAATGAAAATTCGCATCTTTGCCTAAAAGATGAGTGACAGGTGATGTTACCAGCACTGCTGGTGTGAGTACAGCATCTTGCACCCCAAGCTG